CGGGGAGGGGTGCTGCTGCACCTGACTTGGTCCCAGGCGGCATAAGAGATACCATCAAACACTTTATTAGAACATAGTTTAAATTCAACATTCAGTAAATAACGATTGCCTGAAATAAAAAGAGTGGCTTTGTCTGGGAGTTTATGAGAAAATACTTCATGAAAGTTAGTCAGCTGGGATAGGCTATGATTTGGCAAAAACAAAGAGCAGTCAAGAATATGAGGGTAGGTAGACAGAGAGAACAAACTGATAGTCGCCAGATGGGGCGGGGGAGGGGGGGAAGGCTAGATGAAAAAGGGGAAATTAGGACGCACAAATTGATTATAAAAACAGTCACGGGGATGTAAAGTACAGCACAAGGAATACAGTCAATAATATCGTAATAACCACGTATGGTGTCAGGCGGGTACTAGACTTACAGGGGGAATCACTTCGTAAGTTATATACATGTCCAATCACTACGCTGTACACCTGAAACTAATATAATATTGCACGTCAACTGTAACTTAAATTTTTTTAAATTAAGACTATGAGGCTAGGAAGGATGAACAAGGCAGATGGGGAAGACATCGTTTTCTAAGTTTGCCAGTTCCGCAGGGTGAAAAAGGTTCCAGAGAGGCTGTGATGGTTGTGCAAGAATGCGAATGTACTTAACGCCACTGAACCGTAAACTTAAAAGAGGCTACAATGCTAAATTTTATATTATGTATATTTCACAACTAGAAACTAAATTCAAAAAAAAAAAAATGTCAGCTTAGCTGTCTAAGTGAGACGAGTAGAAACAATTTTTTCGTAAGGAGAGTTGTTTAGAGGCTGGGCAAGCTGACTATTATTGCAACCGGCCTGTGGGGCAGTATCGGCAGCTTAGGTAGATTTCCGAATGTGACAGTTTTAAGAAATTCTTGCTGGAGCCAGGCTTGAGGAACTCAGGGACACGCCGGCATTTCAGCTCCGCGCCCCAAGCACTTCCGGAACGCAGTTAGACCCCCAGGACCGCATCCCATCGAGGGCAAACCGCATTTTGTCACAACTGTCATAAGTGCCGCTTCCGGTCCAGGGCAGAGCGCGTCCACTCAGCCTAGACCCCTTAGGGACCAGCGGGGTGACACGGTCGCTTACGGGACGCGCGGCACACCCCGCACACCAGGGCTCTGTCTGGCGTCGGACAGGAGGCCTGTGACGCCATCCCCGCGGCCGGGCCGGGCCAGGCCCCCCGGGGT